TCTGGCTTTGGTGGTGTGGAGATGCCTATCTTATTTGGTTTCACTTTGGTCGAGTCCCCATGGAGTCTAGGTCAGGCGTTTTTCCTGTTGAGATGAAGTCGTGTGGCCATGTGGAAGCAGCAGATTCCTGCACTTTTAGGGGTTTTGGAGTCATATGCTCCCTGTTTCTGTCACTGAAAATCTGTGAGACTCTGGGGAAATTATTCAATTCTTATCCTCCTCATTTTCTCACCTGAGAAATGGGGATAATAATACACCTACATCATAGACTTGTGAAGATTAAATGAAGTAATACATATAAAGTAATTCACATATAAGTCTCAGGCCAAGGTCTCAATAAATGTTTATATTATCATTAACACTATTTGAAGACAACAACTCTTAACTGACAAACGGACGATGAACTTGAAGGCAGAGACTCTGAGGTAGGAAGTATGATAAACTAGACACAAAGAGGCGAGAACTTGGAATAGGGTGGAGGCTTCATGACGGAAGTGAAGCACAGGTCAAAGATGCTAAATAACAGGAGTTCATTCGTCCCTTCAACTATTCTCTCATTCAGCTATTCTAGGCACCTGGAATACATAATGACCAGAACAGATATTTTAGTGAGAGATGGATAAAACAAATCATTTAATACAGGTTGGGCATCCCAAATCTGAAATGCTCCAAAATTGAATGTTTTTGTGTGCTGACATGACATTCAAAGGAAACGCTCATTGGAGCATTTTGGGTTTCAGATTTGGAATGCTCCACTGGTAAGTATAATGCAAATATTCCAAAATCTGAGACACTTCTGGTCTCAAGCATTTCAGATAAGGCAGGGTCAACTTGTAATATAGTTAGATGCTAAGTACTGTGGGGAAAAATTGAGGGTAAGAAAGCTATGGGGTGTGAGAATTGGGGTATAGGGTGACATTCCACCAGAGCCCAGAGGAAGCCTTTAGTAGAATGGCCCTGAGGTAAAAGCAAGCTTGGCTTCTTAGACAAACATCAAAGAGGCCATTGTGGCTGAGGCAGAGTGGACAGGGGAGAGTGGTAGGGGATGCTACTGGAAAAGTGGTGGGTTGACTCTTACAGGCAGAGATGATTGGCTAGTGATGGGACAATGGAAAAATGAGGCACAGGAAGGTGAGGAAGTGAAATATTTTTCCTAGGGTTCAAGGAACAGGCACCCCACCCCCTTCCCTTTGTAAATTTCTGCAGAGCCCAAGACCAGACCAGGTACCCAGGGAGTGGTTTGGGATAAAGGCTGACTCTGACTCATGGTTAGGTCCAGGTCCCCATTCTCAGGGACAGTCTATTGCCTGCCTGGTGATACCCAGTGCAGACCCAGGCATTCGACAGCTATCTTTAACCACATTCAGGAATCAGAAGAGTGAACGTGGCTTGAAGATTTCCCTACTCACTCCATATTCAATTGGCTTCAAAATCTTAACCATGACTAAAAGAAAACCTTAGAATTTGAGAACATCCTGGGGACCAGAAGATGATCTTCTAACCCAACATAGAGAAAACTGTTCCCCCAAAATAATAGATTTTTGAGAAGTTGGTGCTTTCTTATGTTTTACTGTCATGAGTGTGAGTTTTACAGGTAGAAAAGTGGCAAGCACTTCACTTTGAAGTTATATTGAGAAGAAAGGGGTGCAGGAGAGGAGCAAGAATACAAGGCCACAGTTAGCAGGGTGAGTTGGAAGTCCTGACTGGTGTGTTTGGCCTCAGGAAAGTTCTTTGGCAGGCTCCACAGACAGGTTTGGTTTTTAAAAGTGCCAAAGAGCCACAAATTTGCATGTTATTTGCGTTCCAGTCTTCACTTCCAGGTATATGGGATGAAATAAATGAATGAACAGTATTCAGACTCCTGGGTAAGGGGTGGACTCAGAAATCCAGACCACACCGAGGATCCAATCACTGGTCCAGCTTGGATCAGGAGACACAGGCACAGAGACAGAGCAAACAGTCATAGAGACAGGGGGACAGAGAGACAAACACCACCAAGTCCTTTTTACCATGGAGTTTCCAGTCAAAGCAAGAAAGCAAGATCCACAGTTTATTTTAAATAAGTCAACTTTTTAAAAATTAGGAAGAATCATATAGACAGGCAGATAAAGGCAACATTATCCCTGACTAATCTCCACCTTTGCCCCTTCATCCTCTATTTCTAGCTTTGTATGGAACTACAAGGCTATGAGTCTGCCTTCTTGATAAGGTGTATTGCTTGGTGTTTGCTTAGCCTCCTAAATTAGTTAACTATAAGGTCTACAGACTCTAATACAGACTCTAAGATCCTCAGAACAAGGTCAGCAGGCTATAAAACCCTGAGGACAAGGTGCCTTTTATTTCCATAGTCAAACCATCTTTTCACTCTACCCTTCAGGGTGCCTAAGCCCAGTGCTTAAACACATGCTTGTAAAATACCTAGCCTAAGGGGCTTCCTAGAAGTAAGAGACTCAGAGTCTCAATCTATGAGGGATGCACAATATCACCGGAAATAAAAAGGATGGAGGAAACTGTATTTAACAGAAAGCTGTGTAGTTAGAGAAAATACTTCCACGAGGACCCTGGGATAGAGACTGAGAACCCCCACCCACCCCAAAGAGCATGCTAAATGCTGAGGAAGATGTTTTTGTTAAGGGTAGAGTGAGGCATTAGGTTTGAGGCCAGAGATGAACCATTTGGGACCACAAAGGAGGTTGCAGGCTGCCATGAGCAGTCCTCCTTCCTCCACCCTCCACAATACTTTTTTTTTTTTTAAATTTTTTTTGTGTTGCCCAGGTTGATCTCGAACTCTTGGGCTCAGGTGATCCTCCCATCTCAGCCTCCCAATGTGCTGGGACTACAGGTGTGAGGCACTGTGCCTGGCCCACGATGTTGTCTTTCTAAATAAATGTTGAATAATTACCTCTACCTCATCACTGGCAGGCCAGAAAGAAACAGCTTTTACTCCTGGTTCGAAAGAAAAGCACTAAATCATTTACCTGCCCTTGGTGGCTACATGTCTCAGTCCATTCATGATGCAAACGGTGAATTACAATACAAAGACAATGTGGACTTATATTATTTTCTGATTATAAGGGCTGCAGATGTCCAGATGAGAGATTTTAAGATCATGTTATCAGGGAAGGCATCAAAGAGATGGGATTTGCATATGATTACTCAGTAGGTATTTGTGAAAAGAATAAAAGTAAATTGAATGAGGGGTCTCCAGTGGACTGAACTCTGGACTTCTTGTGTGCCACTCTCCCACACTTTTTCCTTTCCTAGCACTTGTGTTCTGCAAAGGATAAGGCAATCTCCAGAAGGAAGGAATTGATGGCTACTCCTTAGATTGGAATGGAGAAAAATCTGCAGCTAAGGTCTTGTCGCCTTAACTCTAAAACCAAGCCAGTGTTAAGCCAGTGGCCTTAAAAATTTAACTTTGAATCTCTGCCTTGACTTCCTTTTCCCAGCAGCATTGTGGCGCTTAATACCATTCCAGAATCTTAAGAGTTTGATAAGGCCCCCGGACACCTGGTCCAACCATTCACACAATTGGAATTATCCCTACCATCTCCCTGACAGGCCAAAGAGACAGCCCGCAATAACATTTCCTCAAGGTCCCTCTCCAGCTCAAAGCTTCCTAGCCACTCTTTTCTCTCCCACAAAGGAAGTATGTGTAAGTATCCTTTATTTTAACAGGTGACCCGCATAACCCTCTGTCCCATGTTTCCTTCTCCACCTTCAAAGCTGGGAATAGTAGTGTGTTTTCTTAGTAGACAGATGTTAGGAGTCAGTACAGGTAAAACAAGGCCCTAGACTATAATAAAGGATGCTGGGATGAGCCTTGTCCCTTCCCATATTTTTGAAATTCCAAGCTGTGGATGCATTGCTCCTGGGCAGGGAAATAAGGTACCCTTCCCAGGAGTTTAGCACGTGGCCTGTTTAACAATAGGGCCTAATAATCTAACACCTCTTTTTCCGACTCTCTTAGGTATGTGAACTCCCAGGGTGAAAGCATCATATTCTACCTCATGTTAGTCCATCCAGGTGGACCAAACAAAAAGAAACTGCAGGTGTCAGTCCTCTCTCTTACTCCAGCAAGACATATTTAAAAGCCGGAGGGATGGCACAGGACCAGAAGCTGCAACATTAAAAACATTGGGGCTCTTAAGTGAACTCTTCCCCCTTTACCCACTAGAGCTGCTTAAGGGCCATGTAAAACCAGGCAGTAATGGACAGGCTATGGGACGGGGTTGGTGGAGGTGCTTTTCTAGGTTATCTGTGTTTCTACCTCAGGATCTTGGTGCTAACATTGCTGGGGGCAGTGGGTAGAAGATGCCAGCATGATTACAGTGGCTAAAGAATACAGAAATTAATTCCACATAAAAGTATGAAGCATCTCATACAGAGGAGTCAGTTGACACAAATTCCCCAGGCTGGATGAGGGAAAAGTACTCTTACATTTAACCCTAAATAGGACTCCTTGGAGCAATGGTGGGTCCCAGGTGACAAATGGGATGTAACTAGCCTCTGTGCCTCAGACCACGTGTTTCTCAAATGGATAAGAAAGGTCTATCTGGTATTCTCTGTTCAGGGTCTCAGAGTGATTCTTGGGTCTGTGGTTTCTGTTGAGATCTCTATAGCTGGCATCTAGTGCGTATCATCCCTTAAATATTCCTTTCTTAGGGAAGGCAGGTGAATATGAGCACTGAACACAGGAGAAAGGGGAAGACAGGAGAAAAAAAGTCTTACTTAGTTTAAAGCAAATTACATAAGACATTAATAACATGCCTTTGGGCCATAAAATGCAGAAACATATATTTTTTTCCTGGTCATCAAAGACTACCCCTGAACAAAGGGGAAAGTTTCCAGATACTACTCCTGATCTTGTTGGCTAGCTCAGGAAAGAATGGTCCACTGTGTAAGTCTGTATTTGGACCAGGTCCAGGGTGGTAAGATGGTCTCAGGGTCACTAACTTCTACCTTGTGCAAAACTGCATTAGTCAGAAAGGGGGCCCAAATTCAGACAGGCTCAACAATTCCTTATATATTTTTCAAAGTGCTTTTGTTGCATGTTTCATTTTCTGCTATACATGGCAATAAATATTTGTTGCTTTGGTCTGTACAAAGTCTGTGAGGAAGGTAAGACAGATGTTATCTAAATGGACAAACAATAAATACAGAGAACAATCTTGTTCTGAGTCCCCCAGACAATAGTGAAAGAACCTGAAAAAGGTCTTTTGATTTATAGTCCAAATCTATACCATATTGCCACCTTTCAAGTTGTTGCTTACATACAGTAAATACCAAGAACTAGACAATATTCCAGGAGTCCTGCAATGAGCCTGCATGCCACAGCTTTCTAAAAGAGAATGTGAAGGTCCCCAGCAACTCATATATAGAAAGCTATTTATTTCCTACAGAAAACTCAAAACAAAGAAAAAGAAAGAAAAATAAAGAGAGACAGAAACAGAAAGGGAAAGAGAGAGAGAGAGAAAACAAGCACACAAAAGGTGGTCTTTCCCCAGAAGGCAGGCAGTTGAAGGTAGGACATGTAGTTGCTGGAGTGGAAACAGTAACATTCAGTTAACAATGGAATATTTAAAAAAAATAGTTTTCTTTTCAAATTGTAACTTGTGGTAAAACATAGAAAAATGTACTAAACAAGCTTGTATAAAACAGTAAAATTTTCAAATAAGCCCAGGGAAAAAGCACAATGCTGGAAAGAATGCGGTACAAGGGGAGAGGAGAAAAGATTTCATACAAAACTACCTATTACAATACAGAAAAAAGTATAAAATGTTCCTACTTTGGAACTTAAGTACAAAATGACACTGGCATTGATCACTTCACTATCTAAGCCTGAGGAGCTCTCAGAGGGTGGGGAGAGATGCTAGAAAGAAAAGGAATAGCAGTTTTAAAATCTCAAGTTGATCAGTCCAAGCTCCACCCGTTTTTTTTTAGCTGAAAATATCATCCCCCTCTGTAACCTCTACCCATATGGCAAAGTTCATCCAGGCCTCAAAATATTCCATTAGGTAGTCCACAAACACCCTACTCATAGGGGCTGGGATCTCTGTGTGCTGGAATTTGGAAAATGGAAATAAATCTACAGGCTAAATGGTGAACACATTCAGTCTTTAAAAAAGAAAAAAATAGCATATCCCTGTGAAATTTTATACATATATATACATATATATGTATATATATATGTATACATATGAAATTCTCTGTGGTTAGAAACATATTTAAACTAGCCACAGACCAAACTAGACCTGCATTCATCCAACGCTGGAATTTTATGCTAAATACTAAGGTCCTTCTTCTTCTTGGTCAGAAGCAGGCAACAGTAAAAGTGGTGCTTTGTTGCGCCACTGAAACCGCTCCCTGGGTGGGTCTTCCCCATATCATGTGTTGGTAGCACATGCAAACCCCTGCTTTTAAGGAAAGGACTGCTTGGAACTTTGGGACCTGTCCAGGGCTCATGTGCTGTGCCTCCGGATAGGATGAAGCTACAGATGATAAAACAGCTACGTATAAAAGCAGGTGGATTTTGTATAGGGACATATAAATAGGAAAGGTCCTGGAGGAGGGGACTTATGCCTGTGCCCCAAAATCCAGTTTACAGTCACATTCCTGACTACACATCGTGAAAATTGTGTGTGTGTGTGGGTGTGTGTGTATGTCCTGTATATGCTGGTGGTTTTTATCCCTTCCTTTTGCCCATGCCCTTTCCTACTTCTTAATAAGGCCTAACAACAAGAATTTATATGAAACCAAGATTCTTTCCAAGCTTTTCTCAGTCCCGTAATTAGGGACTGAGCGAGGCTGGAGCCCTTTGAAAACAAGATGGCAGAACTGAAGAAGTGAAAAGCAGTCTCTCTCTTCAGATTAGGGATGTCCCTCACCCCTTTCACAGCACCAAAGTTTCTTTGCAAAAATAGTATCTGAGATACAAAAGGAAAGGCAGATGTGCTTGTGAATGCATCTCGCCAGGGCCTGGTCCAGGATCAAGGGTGTTACAAGAACAGAGGGCTGGGAGCAGCTGTTTCCAAGGTCTCTGGCTGTAGACAACAAAGAGCTGGTCCCCCACATGGTCAAGGTCTGCTAACTGAGACAGTCTTCACAAGAGTTTTCGGTGGAGGATCTCCCAGACCATCCGCTTCCGGAAGTATGGCATGTGTTGCTGTAGAGAAACAGAGACACCCTTAATTTTCAATGCTTTTGTCTAGACCTAATACTCCTTTCCCCATACTTCTTTCTTTTGCAAGGTTTTCAACAAACAGTCTCAGTTGTATTTCTGGTCTTTTAAATTATTCATTCTTGGTTACATGTGGTTTTTTTCTTTTCATTGTTTTTTCCATTGTAATTTCTATTGCTATTTTTCATTGTTACAGCCTTAGAAGTTACACTGGGTATTTCCAGGAATCCCCAGGCTATGCCCACATGTCTCTAAGAATTTTGAGAATGGTGTCTAATAAGTCCTCTATGTTGAACTTTTAAGAGGATATGAGCCTAGGCCTAAAAATAAAAAATTCACATTTTAGAAGAATTAAGGGAACTTCAAGAGTCAGCTCAGGCTGGTCTAGACAAAGGGCTATGGTAGAAAAATCTGGTAAAGCCACTGATTCAAACAGAAGTAAAAGACTTAAGTGGAGAACACATCAGAATAAACCATAATCTCTAGTCTCAATCCACTTTGGTCTGAGGGACCACATGGACAGAAATGACCAATCACTCTCTAAGAGAAGACTGACCAGATTCATCAAGTGAGGGGTCAGGGGAGGGGGCAGCATAACAAATTACACTAAGAGATTGAGGTATGGCCTATTCCCAAACCTGACTACTAACGGAATGCAAGGGAACTAAAGAAACTTGCTATGGTCCCAGTTCTCTTTAGAAGTTACAGTAGGTAGAGGAGACAGGCAGAGAAGGTTCTGCTCTTGACCAGGAAACTTTTACTACAATAACTGAGGTGTGGTAACCCAGGACGTGGCTTATCACTAATTTTCTTTCTTTTGTGATGTGGCTCAGGCAGTAACCATCAGTGTTATGAATCATGGGCTGAAGCACGCTAAAGGTTAGGGCAGAGGCCCCTAAAGAGAACTGGAGAGAAAAACATCTACAGGGCAGCTTGGAGACAAGATAATCCTAGAGCTCCCTATGGAAGGCTCAGTTCACCTGTGTAAAGTTGATTGGTCTGTCTTTGGTAATACAATCAGCATATTTGCAGGCAAACATCCCACAGTCACTTCCATTCATCTGCTGTGGAATTTCCTGGAAGACCAACAAAAACAAAAATGACATCTTTCCAAGCTTCTCTCCTTCTTAGATTAAAAATAAGAACGAAACGATATAAATTAATACAGGTTTCTCTAAATTATAAACAGATGACTCTGGCCCCCTCAGTCAGGACAACAGAGGCTCAAAGAAACAAAATATAACATTCCAGTCAGGTCTATGTACTTCATAGTAATCACACTGGAGACTATCTCAGACTTCCATGGCACCTAAAGGTATAAAAACTGCTCCCTCCCCCAGAGGCCAAATAATCAGCAAACATTCCCCTTAGGAGTGAAAAGCTTAGGAAAATATCTGGGCATTTAGCAAACCTAGTTCTACATAAGAAACACACTGTTTTCCTACGGATAGCTTAATTTATCCTCCCCTAGAAACCAACCAACCAAGCTGAAGTCAGGCTAGACACTGAGACAGGTGGTCCCTGGGAATTAAGCAGTAAAATTCTTTCCTCCCCAGATACCCTACTCTTTGGATTTTTATTTCATCAAGATGAAAAGTACCTGGCTTTTCTTGCTGAAGAGCTGCCAGCCATTGGTGTCAAACTCTTTCCTTTTCTTGTCAATGCTTTCTTGCTTTAGGTACTGCCTAAAGGTATCAGGAGAGAATGAGACAAGCAGTGGAGAACATGGATGACAGCTGCCACACTAAGAATGCAGCTGACAATCCCTAAGAACAAATTTGTTTCATCTGCTCTTCTGAGGAAAAGAGTATATAATGCTGGGCAAGGAATCCCTGGATTGTTCAGTTTTCTCCAGAGCTGAGCTTGCCTCTTCTAGCTTGCCTCTTCTAATGTCCACTCTGCCAACTCAAAAGGAACATGACCTCTGCCTATAATAGTTAAGCTCCTTCTACCTACCATTCCTTCTGAGGAATGATTCTTTTTATCTTTTCCTTGGTTTATATGGTCCTTTAGAACTCAATCTAATGGAAGAAAAGTGCTTTTCTGGCACTACTGAGGTATTTATTTACTATTGTTAGCTTGGTTCTCCTACGTAAAAATTAAATCCAAATCAACAATGTATTGAGAATACCTTCGATAGAGCACTCTTAAGTGCAAACTGTTTACCATTGTGCAATCTACTTCCTCCTGGCCATCAGAGTGGTACAGAGAGGAATAGGTGTTTTGGAAAATGAAACAGGTGGAGCATAAAGAGATTTGCATTCTGGTTTCCACCTGAGCCACTAACTAATAGGACCTGGGCAAATCAAAGGCACTTCTGTGGGCCTTGGTCTCTTCATTTGAAAAATGAGGAGGTCGCATTAAATGATTTCTAAGTAGCATCTATATCTTTATATCTAGTCTATATTTTAGTGCATTAGGATAGTAATTGCTCCCATTAGGGCTTACTTTGGTATTGTTTTTAAACTAAACTTACTTAGACACAAAATATGCATTTTTACTTAATATGAAGATTTTATCAATCACTCCACTGAAGGTATCAAACAACTGAGTTCTATTACTGGAAAAACACCACATATACCCGATATCAAACTCTTCTGTCCTCAACTCCCTACTTACAAGAGGATTCTGCAGGCTTCATTGTTTATCCCACCCATAGAGTCGTAATAGGTAATATTCTTCTTTCTAAAGTCCACAACCTGAGAATAAGAAAAAAAATCTGGGTGTTTATGAAGTGAAGAAAATTGGTTTAAGCTTTTCCCTTTCCTGCTCTTTGGAACCTTCTGCCAGACTTCCTACAAAATCATGATAAGTTTGACTGATACTTTGCATTATATTATGCTTAATCTGCAGAGAAAAAAAATGAAGGGGTTATTCACATAAAACTATGATGGCACTGATCAACGGGTAGCCCCATTACTGCTGTGAAGCCTTTTTCTAATGTTCATTCTCTCCCTCTGCAAAGTGGGCAACAGTGAAGAAACTACATGATTTTCAGGGAATATAAGGTGAGTATCTCAAAATCATTTCCACAGCTTCACAAAGATGGTGAGCAGATTCTGGGTTTTATTTCTTTATATTGAGAAGTTCCTTTTAGCTTTATGCTTTTCAAATGTAATCCAAAACAGACTGTGAAACAGTTTTATTAACACATTAAGCTAATGCTCACAGAGTCATAAAAATATTAAATTACCAAGTATGCAAGGTAAGTCACGATTAGGCTGAAAATAACAGTCACAGAATCTGAGTGGCAGCATCATTAATAAGTCACTTTTTTCCCCCATGCCTTCCTTTAAGACTGCTTAGACACCCTATAACTCTCTTTTAAATATTTCCAGAAAAGGAAATTCCATAGCTTTCTTCAAAATCTATATCCCAATCTTGATAGGAACTTCATTGATCTATCTGATTTTAGTCAACCTACTACTAAACACTCTTTCTCTCAACAATCAAGGGAAAATGTAGAACTACTACTCACTACCTTTTGTGTGTTCTATAATTACATAGCTTTTACATTTTATCAAAAATGAAAGGGGTACTCACAGCTAGACACCAGTGCACTCCCAGGTGAATGGGCACCAAAAGAATGTCAACAGAAAATACATCTACTTTCTTTGTCCAACGTTTCACTGCCTGATAACCAGCCGTTTTTAATTTAGTGAAGAAAAACGTATTAAATGCATGCACACTTGGCAAGCCCTTCTCTTTACTTCGCTCCATCAGCATATTCATGTAGAAATTGATGATCTGTGGGAAGAAGTTACACCTATTAGAATAGACACTCAGGCCTAGCCTTTCAAAGCAGTTGCAGTTGCTGTATTGAATAGCATATGTAATTGTTTCCTAATAAACTGAATTAAGTCTTCAACATCCAACAGACTCATTTCTCTAAATCAAATTCTGACTAGAAGGGGGAAGGCTGAAGTGCTATAAACAGTGAAAAGAGAAAAAGCTGACATATATTATGGGGTTGGGAGTACAAATGGGCAGACGCTGGCGAGGCTTGAAGAAGACTGAAGGTTAGGTCAAAAGACTGCAGAAAGACAGGGATGTTAGAAGGTGAGGCTTATAGAAAAGGAAAGGAAGGCATGCAAACAGTTTAATAAGGTACATTAGCAGTTACCTTTACCTACTGGAACTGTGATAGCAATTTAAGTAGATACTGAGCTCAGTTAGAGCCTAGTGTTAGTCAAGTTAAAATCAAGAATTCACACTTTATATCAGAGCCACATGGTTTTGCACAAAGATGGAAAACTCTGCTCCACGGTTTGAGACTGCCTTTTCAACTTAATAACCCATCCTGCAGAGGCAAACTCTTTTGGTCTCAAGTAGAACTAAGTGACAGGAGAAGCCATCAATTATATTAGAAAAACACCTGTAAACTGATAGTAGCTCAGCAACGTCACCTTTATATAAAGGCACACATGGAAGCATAAAAACCTACCTTATATGAGACCTAAAAGTCAAGTCACAAACATGAAGAGTAAAGTTCTACCCCAGAATCTATATGGTTAGCTTTCTCATCTTTGTTGATTCCATTTATGCCTTCACTATCAAGTGTGGAAAGAAATTACAATGCCTGAGTGGGGAGATGTGTGATTCTTTCTGTTAATGAAACAACATCTTCTCCAATAGTGACTTTGTTGTGTATGGTTCCATTAGGTCCAGGACTCTTGGTACTAAAACCTGAAAGTTATTGTGCCGGAAGTTACTGCATACTTACTTTATGTGGCCAGCTGAGGTCACGCCAGTGTCTGTCAACTGCAAGGAATGAATGGGCTAACTGATCCACGGCTTGGAAATATGACTAAGAAAACAGGCACATTTTTCAGAATGCTTTTTGGGGAATGGGAAAATGCCCCTGTTCTTTGACAAATATTTACACACCAGGATGCCAGAACAGTGAGCTACTGCCCAACAGTAAGCAACGACATACTGGGTAGGCAGCAGGGAACACTGCCAGGAACACACCGGAGCATGGTCTAGACCAGAGAAAGGGCCTATAGATGAGGATGCCTAGGCAGCTGCGGGAAACCACACTCGCCATGAGGCAGAACTCTGAGGTGGGAAAGGCTAGGACTGAAGAAAGACACTGTTTTCTCTGCAGCTCTGATGACTCAGCAACAGGCCCAGTCAGCCCAAAGGACTCAGGTTATGGCTTATTCTCTGCCTAGTGTGATGCCCAACAGATAACTGGAGCTCAGTTGTTATAGATAATGATACTTAATCAAGACACAATTAGAATCAGGTATTTCTCAACTATAAGTTTCCAATCTAACTCTGCCCCTCAGGATAATGGTGCTAAAGGATGCCTCTAGGTTTCTAAAGGCAGCCACAAATGCAGTAGGATCTTCTCAGCAAGTACAGATTTCTAGGCTGTAAACTATGTTCTCTAATGAGGAAAAATTGGCAAGAAGGAATTCACTGATTCCTCTGGCCTTCTACCCATCTTATAATGTTGGCCACGTTATAGGGTAAGCCCTTCAACCCAAGACATAAGCAAATGACCTGCCAGTCACTGTAAGTGAAACCTTCCATGGGGCAGACAGCTTATATGCTCCAACAAGAAATAACGACTGAAGCAGGAGGTGAAAGGGACCAGGCAGAGAGATAAGGACGGTGAAGCACCTGACAGCCACGGAGATACATCTCCCCTAGGTGTCTATCAGAGATTACCTCTGGAATTGTAAGTCTGAAGTGAAAAAAAAAAAAGAATGACATAAATGAGTGTCATGCTATACATCACTATTCTATTTTTCAAGAGGAAAGAGTTCCAGAAACCAAGGAAGCTTAGCTGGACTTACACAGCCTGAGTTTTGCTTGTTTTTTCAACTTGAGAGGGTTCACTAGAAAGCTCAGGACCAACACAGTTGAACAAGAACAGAGAACCCCAGTGATCAGACAGCACGGTATCTGTTCCCTTTGAGAATTCCTCTTCCATTGCTGCACCCAACCAAAGTTTCTCAACTGAGAGGGAAATGGCCTCCTCCAAAGTCAACTAGTTAATTAGCTCTAAGGAATGATCTGGGTTCTTTTTCATTTCCCCTAGATCCCAGTAGGAGGGAGTTTGGTGACCTCAATGCTCCCCACATTAGCTGAGAATGTAAATCTGACATCTGAGACAGAATTTAGATTCAAGTCTTTCTCCTCAATTTTTTAGCTATTACTCCATCCAAATGAGGAAAATTGCCACAGTTCAGCCAAGACACCATCATACCAAAAAAACAAGCTAAGAGAGAACAAAGAAGTCCTACATGTCATCTCACAGAGGAGGGCTGAAGATGAAGGAAAAAGAAATGAGAGAAGGGATCACAGTGTTCAAGATGAAAGAGGAGCAGTGATGGTCACAGCATTTGCTTGGATTTTGTGAAGACAACGGTCCCCTACGCCAAGTTGGCAACAGCCCTTTACTCAAACAAGACTCTCTTAGCACCAGCAGATCCTAAATTCCCTTTGAAATAAGGAGCTAAAAGTAGATCAGCCCTGTGCTTGCTGTTTGTCTCACCAATAAACCACAATCTGAGGACTACTGTCAACGTTAGTCCACCTGTCACCTTTTCTGGGACCCACACTTGCCTCTATTTGCTCATTGTGGCTCTTGGTGCTTAAGGAGCTGCCCTTCCTGCTGCCTTCGCAGGCTTGGCCATAAGCATCTACTTGTCTATGCAGTCATGTTTAGGGATGGGTGGGTTGTTTATAGTGCCTTGTTCCTCCGATATTTTATTTGAAGAGCTGCCAAGCTGAAGCTGAAAAAAGCTTTTCTTTCAGAGAAACGCCTACAATGTTTTCAAATTAAGGATTCAATCCCCTTTTCCTGTATGTTACCACAATGACATAAATGACCAATGCTATTTGCATCTTCCCTCTTCCCCAGTAAACCAGCCAAACTATTGTTTTCTCATGTTTTTAGAAATATTTCACTACCAGTAAAGTCTTGATTTTTAGCCATTCTCATGCTTATACTTTGAACCCGTCTAATCAGCTTGAGAAAAAATGTTCTAAAAGGCCTGCGCATGACAATACTTCTGAGCAGAGATTAAGACAACTTTTGGGGGGACAAAAGCCGTTTTTCCAATTTTACCTCTCTAGATTTTCACCTTGACCTCCCCATTCTGATTTTCAAATTAAATTTACCCTTGTCAACCACAAAGTCCAAAAGACTAACTGAACAGCAGCATTTGATAGTGGGTCAGGTCATTCACTCATAGGAGTTAACCTAGTCATATTACAGAAACCAGAAAGGCAGGTTTCCCTCACTGCGAACATGCACACAGAATTTTTCTCACATGCCAATTCAAGGAACAAATTATCAGAATTATAGCTAAAATTTTAGAGAAAGGCAAGCAACATGTTAATGGAGTCATTTATGGAGAATAACTACTATTCTCCATGTGACCTTCCATAAATCCCTGGTTAATCAAGGCTAGTTCTATTGAGAAACACTTCAAAGAGATAAACCATAATAATCTGGATGCCAAAGAGTCATGTTAGAAAACTTTAGTTATGTAATCCCAGCACTTTGGGAGGCCGAGACGGGCGGATCACCAGGTCAGGAGATCGAGACCATCCTGGCTAACACGGTGAAACCCTGTCTCTACTAAAAAATACAAAAAACTAGCCGGGCGAGGTGGCGGGTGCCTGTAGTCCCAGCTACTCGGGAGGCTGAGGCAGGAGAATGGCGTGAACCCGGGAGGCGGAGCTTGCAGTGAGCCAAGATGCAGGCACTGCACTCCAGCCTGGGCAACAGAGCGAGACTCCATCTCAAAAAACAAAACAAAACAAAACAAAACTTTAGTTCTGATCATTTTATTCCACACATAAGTGTACAAGCACATGGTAGATTCATCATATTCACTTAACTAATTTATTTCATTTTGCCTAGTTTTTTTCCTTCTTATGCAATCAGCTTTTATTCTCTAAGGAAAACCTATTCCTAAGGCTAGGTTTGTCTAGTTGAACTTAAATGTTTTGTAAGCTGTTTCCTCTCTTTACTGAACATCACTCAAATTTAACTACTCCTTGGAAACAATTATCAAACTATGACCACTACCAATTCCCCCCATTCCCATAAAAAATATATATATATATTCTGAAAGTTAGAATGCTAGACAAAGCTGGGCGTGAGCTCCTGCCTACAATCCTAGCACTTTGGGAAGCTAAGGTGGTAGGATCACTTGAGGCCAGGAATTCGAGACCAGACTGGGCAATATAGTGAGACTTTCTCTCTAAAAACTAAAAATAAACAAAAAAGCCAGGCATGGTGGCACATTCCTGTGGTCCCAGCTCCTTGGGAGGCTGAGGCAGGAGGGTCACTTTAGCCCAGGAGTTTGAGGCTGCAGTGAACTATGATCACACCACTGCACTCTAGCCTGAGTTACAGAGTGAGACCCTGACTCGGAAAAAAAAAAAAAAAAAAGAACGTTCATCAAAATGCAAGTGCTCTGGTTCCAGATTCTGATTCTGCAATAAAAATCAGGTGACTTTGGTACTTCACTATAAAGTTTTACTTCTTATTTTATACTACCAATCAAGTAAGAATATGGTCTCTATACACTAGGCTATTGTGATGCTGAACAGCCAAGAGACATCTCTTCCTTTTCAGAGATGAAGCTTACCAAGTAGGTAATTAGTCTGCCTGGTTAGCTGTGGCTTCAATGTAATTACAGTCTGCTATGTAGATTCTATCTTAATTCCTCCTTCACTATCCTCCTGTCCCCCATATTTCCTATGAGTTTGGTTCTCATTGG